CATTACCAAAGTGGGCTGAGGGAGTTCCCTTGGTCCTATGTGATGTAATTTCCTGTCCTGTTTTACGCCCTGCTGTTATATTAATGAAGTACTTGGTTTGCAGTGGAGAGGGTTTAACAGTGCACAGAGGCTGTCGGCTGTTTTTAAAGGAGGGGGAGTCAGTCACAGCTGAGCTAATGTTTCCAATGTTGGACACAGAATAGGTGGAGGACAGTGTGGTTGAAGTGTTAGTAATGTCGCAGAGCAGAGCAAAAGTGAGGGGCCCTGTTTGCCATGGTAACATGGGTGTAATGCAGGTCGCCACACTTACAAATGGATTTCTGTTTTGAGGCTACCTGTCCTGATAATATGACACTTTATTGATAAATGATACACTTTATTTCAATTAAAAGTGATTCAAAATCTTGTATTTGTCATTTTGAGATTTTTTTTTCTGTATCCTTGCTTTAATTTTAACTTACTGGTCAAGAAATTCACTACACATTGTATTTTGTACAACCATGTTCGTAACAAACAAAAACCCTCTAAATCCCTGACGACTGATGCTCCCTATCATTCATGAAATTATTTTATTTAAATGTACTGAAACACATTCCCTTATGCCCATTTAAAACCTTAGATATTTGTCAAAACACAGGAAAATGGTGTGAAAAACACAAAAAAGATATATGTCCACAACCAAATTATATGTAAACTGCAGAGAAATCCAGGTAATGCACAACTGAAGAATGTGTTCTACATAATACCTGTAGGTAAAAGGACAAAGTTCTTTCTGTAAGAGACAGGTGTAAAGTTCATCAGTACTGTCAGGGACATTACTTCATCTCATCATCCTCCCTCCCTGCTGCCGTCACATCATCAAACAGAGCCCAACAAGCAGGGCTGGTTACACAAGTTCTTTCCTGTGATTAACTCAATGGAAACCAAAAGTAACAACCAAGCCCAGCAATCAGCTACATGCCACCAACGTTTCCAGAAAAACCACAAATTATTTGCCACAGCTCTGCCTTCACTTAGAAACTGGTTCCTGCTGTCCAGAATAAAGAGTTAAAAACAATAACAATGTTGTTAGGTACAAAAATATTAAAGCCACGCTATTTTTCCCACTTTTTTTTCATTAGTTGTGTCATAAAACATACAATTCACTCCTTCAATCACCTAAGCTAACAGGCTGACAGTACATAATGCTTTACGGAATGAATGGAGTGTGTTTAAGCAAATACAAGCAATTCTCTCTGGGGTTGTGTTCCCTGCGGGGCTGGATACAACACAGCAACAAGGAGAAATAATAACATCCCTGCCTCTTGATGGTGAGAGAAATATATATTAATAATGTCCAACACCCCCTAAATAGAGTTTCTTCATTTTCAACTTCCTTTATTGAACCAGGACTAACATCTAGTTACTGCACTACAGGAAAACATGTTTTTATTGTGAAGTTTATCTCTCCATAAACCTATTACACAAAGCCTAAAAGTTTGGGTTTTTTTCTCACTATTTATGAATAAGCCAAAAAGTGACAAAGGCAAAAGAGGATTGGATTATTCCTCCCCCTGTATGCCGTAACTACACTGCACTCACAGTGTTACGCATTTTGATTCAGCCACACAGTTAATGCAGCATTACACAGGATTATGCAGAACAACTGTTTAGGAGGTGAATTTAACTGTGTCTGAACTGCTCTTGACCTATATATCCATTACTGAGGTAGTGCAGCAATGTCATCCTGCGAGGGGGATTTGTGGATAATTGTGTTGGTATTTTTGTTATACTGACAAAGTAGCTCAAAATCTTAATCTAATTGTAGAATCAAAGGCCAGAGATTTTAAATGAAACAGATTTTCCTTCCTTCCTGAATCTGTATTGTTGTTTGTTTCTTGTATCTCATAGTGTGTGCACCAGTAGAAACTACATTTGCAGAGCAACCAATAGAAGACGCTAACGACGATAGCACATAGAGATGCCAAGCTCACACTAGAAATCTCCACAATTACCTCAGTTTCCAGCCGTCAGGTGTCATGTCCGAGTCTCCACCCTCTTAATATGACTAATTGCTCAGACTGTTGTGCTTCTTATGATACAGGTTAGAACTCATTACCAGGATGTTCTGCATCACTGGGTTGTGCTGCTCCTGTTCTCGGGCCGATGAGAGGAAATAAACAAGCACCTTGCCATCCACACACACACATGCCACCATATGTTTTTAGTCATTCTTCTACTCAGGAATTATTAGTTGGTTACATCTCTTAAGGTGCATTTTGTCCCATAGAGTATCAGTGTGGCACAAATCCAGTAGTTTCTTTTGGAAAGGCTAAATGTTCTCTGGGGAATTCTGGTACCTTTGCCAAGTCCACTCCGCTGAGCATTAGCTGTAGTAATACCTTCTTCATTGATTACCTAGCAGCTCTGCCTACAATAAGCATTGATGAGCAGATAGTAGCAGTACAGGAGAGCTTGACACAAAGGTGTGATAACTGCCATAAATTACTGCCATCAGCCGAGCTACCAAACAGATGATGTATCATAACCTTATAATCTCCAGGAAGTGATGAGCTGCAGGTGAATTTCTAATTAACATGTTCTAATCTTACTGAACTAAGAGGAACACGACCATGATTCTCTATTAGAAGCTCTCCACCAGGTGCAGAGGAATTAAACAACACTTGATCCAAATTGCCAAGGGTGTGATGTTGACACTGACTTTTTTTTTTTACACGTGGAGGGTGGAGTGGACAAATAAAAGAAAAGACAATGACTTGACAAAGCCTATTGAGAGCAATCGTCTAGCTACGCCTTTTCAATTGGAAAGAAACTGACATACATATGTGGATCAGATTGCGGTTTCTAAGAGCATTTGACAATAAGAATACACCACCAGTGTTCAAATATATCTGTGGCATTTATCCTTTCAACAATTACACACTTTAAATTTGAATTATGTGCATTGTGAATTTGCAGCTTCAGTGCAACCAGAAATTACTGAGGTGAATCTATCCATCATTCGTCAACCGTGACTTGTCACCATTTTTAACATGAAGTCTAGATAAATATCTAAACAAAAGAAGCCCTTTCTGAGCCAACAACCACATTAAACAATCGCTGTTACCAAAAACTCATTTGGGCACAATGTTTGGTACCAATACAAGAAGAAACATGTTAACAACATGTTAAAGACAGAAGTGACTCAGTGGAAGAAAAAAACCTTTACTGCATCTAGTAGAAATTTCTGTTCACTCTAGTAAAGAGGTAAACATGCAAAATAACACAAACAGGGTCTTCATAACATGCAGGGCTAAAGACTAATCGTCTCCCAATGATGAGAGGAACATGTGTTTGGGACAGATATGTTTATCAGACACCTCCGGGACAAAAGGTCACAGGTAAATTAACCAGACACTCAACACTGACAACTGTGGCTCTAAAAAGTTGGTTTGCCAACCTATCATATCACTGGTCCATCTCCTCTCTCAGACTCAGCCTGTGGGCATGCACTGCCTGTGATGGCACACAGCATCAAGTACCAGTATCGTGTCTGTTCGAGCCAACTTCCCCAAGGTCTGAGGTTCCTTAAGGACAAACTGAAAATGAGGGTTTTAATAGTTGCTGGACTGTAAAGAGTGCTACACCGGATGTTTGAGTCACAAGACCATAGACGGAGATCAATACGTACTAATTAGAGCGTGTATGTGGGTCACTGTAACACAGGAGGTACAACAGATACATGAATATGCTGTCAGAGACAATCAATTTTTACTTTAGTCTGCTGCTTTCATCACCACGATCTCACCCAGTTCCTCCCCTTCTTCTTCTGCTACACCCATACACTTCATGAATACACTTATAACACATCTCTGGGGTCATTCTTTTTGTTGCCTCTCCACCTTAATCTCCAACAAACCATGTCCACCTTAATCACGCTGCATACAAATACCAGCATCCTAAACCCTGCTGCTCCAGTTCAATCTGGAGGCAAATCATCACAGCTTATTATCAATAATAATAGATAATTAATAATAATAAGTAACGGTAAAGGTAATGGTAGTGCCATTCAGGATATGGGTGGGCATCTATGGAACCACCATTATTGAGATTCTCCTGTAGGATTTTTTGAATAAACTATATCTGTGCTACAATCTATGGAGCCGTTTGTCTACTTTTAGTCAGCTGGTTAAAAATATCACCAAGATTTACTAGATTTACTAAAATGAGTGATTGACAGTTTGGACATCCAGTTGGATACTGGTTACAGGTAAACCTCCAGAAGGTGCAGGACAAACTAGCATACCACAAAGGTTTGAACAAGCCATCCCAGCTTACACCTTGCACAGTTCTCCAGTTCATCAGAGGGTCACACAGAGACAAGACAATTTACCATTCATTTACAAATCATGGGGATTTCTGACTGTGGGAGGAGGCCAGAGTATAGAGAGAAAACGCATGCATACATAGGTAGAACAAACCGAGAGCCTATCGGTTACCAACAGGAATTGAACCAGCAATCTCGCTCTAATGCAAGAACAATAGCAACACTTCCGCTGTGTGGCTCAGCAGCTTTGATTAATAAGAAGATGAGGTAGGATTTTAAACAAAATTCGTTCATCAATATAAGTCAGTGCCCTGACTCTGCCTCAGCAGGGTGCCTGGGGGCGCTACCTTAGAGCCTTCTATCAGTGATTACCAGCCCTGCTCCCTGGTAGCACATCTTCTTCCTCCTCTCTCCTCATCTGTGTTACTGCTGAGACCAATCAATCACACACAGCGTTGACGCTGTAGCCATGACCTACACTGACAGTTAATGCGTTGTGTAAATCTAACCGGCAGAGAGAGAGAGAGAGAGAGAGAGAGAGAGAGAGAGAATGACTGAATGCTATACAGCAGTCGGCCGTATGAAGG